AATACTATATATAAGAAATGCCATACACAAGATCTGTTCAAAAGGCATCGAGAAAATCTTTTTTTTTTTAAATATTATTTATTTTTTCCTCTTCAAAGTAATCTTCATTAGATATTTGTTCCTTCATTAACTCATTTTTTTGCGATCTTCCTTCGCAGCCGTCTTTAACCCATGCTCAAACCGTCTCCATTTCATGTTATTCTTCCCCCTATTGGGTGCTGTATCTTTTTTTTGGCCCAAACTTTGATACAGATACTTTGTTCCAGGCGAACATCGAAGTCGAAAATTAACCCAGATATATACTCTATTCTTTTTGATGAAATTGTATTAAGAAAGTTTTAATATCCTAAAGACTTTCATCAGAAATCTATTTACATAAAATATATAACATATAAAAATGATCCAAGTTAAGTTTGGAAATCCTTATCAGAAATCTATACAGATATTATAGCCTCTAGTAAGTGTATTCCAGCAATAACTCAGCCTAGACACATACCTACACTAACAGCAATTGAATTCAGTCTTTTTGGGGCATTTTCTCATAAATTAGCCAGCTGCCAGAGCCGCTCGAACCACAGCGACTTGAGTTTCACAACAAAAGCGCAACAAATTAAATGTCAATTTTGAGGCTGTGAGGCGTGTGGGGTTAAGAACACAAAAAGCATTCTCACTTGGCCTGGCCACAAGCAGACCCCATTTGGTCATATTAAAAAACAATTTCCACACACACGCACAGCAAATACATCGTGAAACTTGCGACACGCGCCACAAACGACAACGAGGATGACGAGAAAAAAGAAATTGGGCAACATACATAAAAAAAGCTGGGAAAAAGGCAAGAAAATTGGCTACAAAAGATGCTAATGATTTATTTAATCGATTTGACCATGAACATATGTAACGCAGTTCAGCGTGTGAAAAATGACAATCGAAAGTTCTTTTGGGCTTCGGTTTCAGTTTCGTTTCTGCCCAAGTGTCTGTGGATATTTTTAATAGTTTCGGCTACGCAATGTTGACAAGGGTTTCTGACCGGTTCAGGGTCAGGGGACATGAATTCCATACTCTTGGGGCCGGTGTGGTCAAGCGTAAGTCGTTTGCCTTTTGCCGTGTAAATTATGCTAAGCGCTTGTCAATTTGAGTGTGATTTGTCTTGCCGGACAAGGTGCGAAAGGGTTGACTGGCATGCCATGGTCACGCGCTATTAACTGCGCTTTATCTCCATTCGTGTGGCGTTAACCGACGATTAGGCATAGAACAGTCGACTAAGCGGTAACTCGAGCTTCTGTCAGCCACAATCATTTATCATTGGCATTAGGCATTGCTCAGCTGAAGAAAGACCAAGTTAGATTCTTGATTATAATCGACCACAAAGTATGCAATACAAATTGAAGACTCTGGAATGCCATAGGCTGTATATTAATATATTATTATTTACAGATTGGCGTCCTGTTCTTATTGCATTTAATCCAAACAGAAACGTCTGAGCATTCTTCTAGTTCTAGTGCGAGGTCTAGCTTATCTTGTTGACAGCTTATTGCTACAACCAAGACATTTATGTCAACTTTGAGCTAAATGGCTGAGCTGAGGCAGCATGGGAACATATATTTTTCTTGTCTCTATTGCATACTTCAAAGTCAATGTAAGAAGATTGCAAAAATAAGTGTGCAAACTAGATCTTTTGGGGAATACTTGCATTTCCATATCCATTATCAATGCCCATCGCTCGCACAGATCCAACAGAGTCAAATTTCCCATCAACAATTTTGGGCGATATCATTTGTCCAGCTGGCTATCAGACAATGGAGGCGAGCGCACAAGAAATTGGTCAAGTCGGTGGCAAAGTTGAAAGAAATGACTAACACTTGGCTGTGGGTGTGGCATGCAAACAAGACAAACAGAGACACAGCAGAGCAGGCGGCAAATAAATCGTCTTCAATATATCAAAGACTTAAATTTCAATTTTTTTCAAATTTCCTGCCATTTAAATGCACTCCTTCGGCCAAGTGCCCAGCGACAGGATTCCATTTGCCCACACCCGCTACATATTCCCAGCTCATTGTTATGGTTGTGTTGGTAAATGATGCGCAGCGTGTTCGTATGGGTATGGGTGTGGGTGTGGGTGTGGGCGTGGCATTGCTGCAGAAATTGTGCCAGGAATTGAAATTCTTTTTTTTTCTTTCTTTTCCTTTTTTTTTATCAACAGAGCGACCAACGGCGGCAAAGACGTCGCAATTCTTTAGCATTTTATTTCAATTTTTTCATTTTTTTTTTCCTATCTTATTTTGCATTTTATAGAGCTGAGAAGTGAGCAACCCAGCAGCAGCGTGAGGTAGGGGCTGGAAGTGATGGCGAGAAGTGTGGAGACAACGCAAGTGTACAGCACATTTACTGCCTCATCTATTTAATACCATAAATAATTGCATCTAATTAAATATGCTCAAATGAAAATGTCCGCTTTTTTAGCCATTTTTTTGTTGTTTTTTATATATATGTATTTTTTTTTATTTTTGCCTTTGCCACTGTCGCTACGTGCTCTGCCAACGTTGGCTGCAGTTGACGCGTGATGGAGCGAATGTCATTCGAAATGAAATTCAAGTTCCAATTTGGACCAAAGAACGAACGACAGCAGCTTTCGAGACACTGAGTGTAAGAGAGATGGGTACAGAGAGAGAGAAAGAGGGAGTGAGAGAGGGACAGATGCAGAGAATGATAGCGCGATTGAGAAAGCGTGGGCGAAGACTGCTGCGAAAAAAGGGCAACGGCGCGTTTAAGTTGGGCTTGATTGAGTTGCAAATACCCTACGAAAAATCATAATAAATATATAGATATAGATATACATATAGCTTAGCTTCTTTTTGCTTTAAATTTCAGATACCATTGCTTAAAAAACATTAATATGAATGTCTATGGAAAACGCTGGAAGATAATAAGTAAAATCTGTCAAATCAGTTTATGTTTTAAATTATGTCTCGATGTATTTCTAATGAGTTCATGAAAGCTTTTCAATAGACAGCAATGACATAGCCGACACTATCTACATCCATATATCTAAAAAAAACGCCATCAAGTGCTTGTTACATAACAGTGACAGCGCATCGGAATACCCTTCATGCCCCCACTTCAATGGGTACGAGGTATAATTAAGTAGCAGCGAGAGCGACAAGAAAAAAAAGACAGAATTTAATAGTTTTCAATTAGGAATCGTTTGCAGCCTTTGCTGCTGCGCCCTTCCTTTTTTATGGCACACACTTGATGTCGCATCAGCAGCAGTGGCAGTGGCAGTGCCAGTGGCAGTAGCTGTCAGTTTTCTCGGCTCTGCAGAAGTGTCGAGCAAATGAAGTCACGGACTCGTCGTCGACTCGCCCCCAGATCGAGTTATTTGTTTGCGCTGTTTGTGTTGTTTCCTTTTGCTGTTGCTTGCGTGTTTTTAATTCAACGTAAATTTTATTTTATTTTAATTTCGCTGCAATTCTTTTAATACACACACACATACAGAGACAGAGACGGAGCGCCCTTTACTTCCGCTCTGCCATTTTTATGAACATCAGCAGCAAAAAATCGAGCACTGAGCAAAGCGTCGCCTCGGCTTTTATGAAAATGACACGTTGTGCATTTGCTTACGTGACTCTTATTTAGCCGTTGAGTTTTCTTTTATTTTTCTCCTAATTTCCCCACAGTTTTCTCCTTCATTTTTGCCGGTTTTGAAGTGCTCGTATTTATTGCTCACATTGCTTTAATTAAACATACTTTGAGTCTATTATTACTGGCAAATAAGGTTATCTATTGATATATATATGTATATACATATATATATATATATATATATATATTTAATTACTTATGTATTTATAAGAATGTGGATCGTCTATAAGTAGGAAATGATATGGCTTGACGGATATGGTACCTAGAAATGATCTACGAGAGATTATTTCTATATATATATATAATTTTATTTTCTGACTGATTCAAGAGACACCGAGCCTAAGCTGTCTCCACATTAAACTGTAATCGTTAATACAATCAATGCAAGGGCGCAAACAAGTCAAGACAGTTATTTCACTAGCTTTGCAGAGAAGGCGGCATCGGCTAGCTGGGTGGGCGGCTGAGTTAATGGAACGACTAGCAGGCATAGACACATAGAGCTGTGTTTCTGCTGCGACCTTCCGCCGGAAGTTATTGAGCATGGCAAAGGCGCGACCTAAAACATAATAACAAATACAACAAAGCAACAACAACAATGACGACGACGACAAGTCGAGGGAAACCAGCTTGGCGCTGCTGCTACCTGCCGTTACCATTAGCTGGGCTGCAAAATTTTGGTTCGATGAATTTATTACTTTTGATGTTCAAACACGAAAACTGCTGCAGGCCATAAAACAAGCAAAGAGCGCTAAAACTTAAGGACAAGCCAAGCCAAGCCAAGTTAGGGAGTATTGCAGACATCCAGTCCAGGCAAACGGCACAGGAGTTTGGAACAGCAAATGCTATTAAAAGTTTACATGTCTCAATAGAGTGTTAAGAGATTAGTTGGCATAAAATATTTGGAGAATTCCAAACCAAAAGGCAGTCGGCCTTGTTGAAGAGTTCAGAGTCGGGTGGGGAAGCAATTTGCTGAGTTAGACTCTAATAAATACATAAAGTTGGAGTCAGTAAATTTTTAAATAAAATTAAATTAAATTAAAAATATATATATATGTAAAAAAACCATTAAATATATTTAAAATATAAAATCAGGTCAGCTTCTATTAACTCTAACCTTCAGCAGCTATAGGTTGTAAACAGAAATGTTTTTAGTATTTTTTTCATATACATTTAATGATATAACCAGACTAGATCCAGCAAACAATATGAACACAATTTGATTACAGTTATGTGCTCGATCCATTAACAAGCTGCAACTGTTTACAGATCGGCGAAACATTGATATTGCATGTGAGATAGGCTCTGGGCGAACGTATATAATGCGCCTGCGCTGTGCAGCACTTGTCAATTGAGTTGTCGATTAGCTAATCATGACTAGTGTCTCGGGTCTGGTGGTCGTTGGACTGATGCTCTTGGTGTATACCGCAGCCGACGATAAGAGCTATAGCTTGGAGCTGAACTCCTTCGATAAGAATCCCAAATTTGAGAACGATGACACCTGGGTCGACTGGGGTACGTTGCGCATGAAGAAGGTGGCACGCAATAAGTACACCGTGGACGGGGAGTTCGAGTTTAAAAAGAATATAGGCGACGAACAGAAGGTAAGCCATATGCCCATCGAGCTGAGTACGATTGAAGTGCTATATAGTTGGTCGACTCCACAGTTATCGCTGCAAGTATTTGCCTACGATGAGGCCGCCAAGCAAAAGGGTCCCATGGTCATGAATGTGAACAAGCCGTTCTGTGAGTTCGTCAACGAGGACGTTGACACGTATCCGAATCTGCAGAAGAAGTCCAATCTGCCGGAGCAGGGCGATTGTCCGTTCCCCAAGGGCAAGTACACAATCGATAACTACGAGATGGAGACAACATTCCTGCCCGAAGATGCACCTAAAGGGGATTACCTATTGGAGCTCAGCTTGTTGGACAAAGATGTTGGCATATCGGGTCTGGTGGCATCCGTCACGCTAACCTAGTGACAGCTTCAAACCTTTTTTTTTTTCTTATCATATCCTTTGTTTTGGGTGGATCCATTTAGCACTGCAAGCGTTTTACATATATGAATACTTTCTATTTTGTATTGTAGCTTAAGTTTTATTCCATTTCTGTTTATGTGACAATTATTAAATGCTTCGCTTTCAAGGACCTAGAACTTCATTTTGGATTTATATTGCAACCTGATATTCCAAGAGAGAGAGAGAGAGAGAGAGAGAGTCTCAACAGAGCTGTGGTAAAAGCTTAGTCAAGTACACACATATGCTTGAAATTGCAAATACAGTGGAATATTCAGTTTATGCCTCAACACCTCGTCTAATTGAAATTTGCAATTGCTATTGCTGCTGTTGTCCTGTTGTTTCACGCTGTGCCATTTGTCATTGACAAGCAGCGTGGCAACAAATACAGCGCCAGCATATGCCAAGGCTCTCCAAAATGCGCGCATAATGACAGACTCCGCCCCTAACCCACACGCCCACCCACACAGCATGCAAAAAAGGGCAGCATATAGAGTTGGCTGGGGCTTTGCTTTTGCTAAAAATGATTATCTGTGCATTAAAATCCATTGATTCCACTTAAGCACCGTTACAATTGCACACACACAACCACAGAGACAGACATAGACAAAGCGACAGCCACATGCGACACTTAATTAACAAATATGCATTACAAACACCCGCAACGAGCAGCAATTGGTTGGTCATGTCATCAGCTGGCTTCCTCTAACCCGCAATCATATCACATACTCACACACCCACCCACACATACACACACACCACATACGTATTATTGCACATTTGCATTGCCTATGCATGTGGATGGCTTTTTATTTGGCTCGTCAGCGTCAACCACCCGCATGGCAGCAGCAGCAATAGCAACAGCAACAGCAACAGCAACAGCAACAGCAACAGCAACAGCAGCAAACCGTTGCCGCCGTCGCCAGCAATTGGGGAGTTGTGTTGCATGTGTTTAATTGAAAAATCATATGCAGCTCGCATAATTATGTTTATTGCAATAATCTGATGCAAATTTTCAAAACTCAAACTGAATGCTTTAGACGACAGTGCCCCAAGCAGGCAACCTGGCAGCCCTGCCAACACCTGCCACCACCTCGCCTCACAACCCACGCACTTTTGTGTTATCTGCTGTTGGTTGTTGTTGTTGTTGGTGCTGCTGCCGTTCGCTGTTGGTGCACATTAAATTGCACTTGAAATTGCACATTTCAACGCCTACTGATTATGACAGATAATTATGTTATTGAGTGTTGCCGCACGCAAGCGTCGCCCCTTTATTCGACGCATCCAAAGTCTCCTGCTATATATATTTGAGTGAGTGCAACCAGATGTAGACTTAGACATGGATATGGGAGTATGTATAAATATGTCTAAGAGTAGAAGAGTTTACTACATTCTACATTCTACATTCTATATTCTCTATTCTTTATTCTATATTCTCTATTCTTTATTCCTTATTCTATATTCTATATTCTATATTATACATTTTTAACTCAGGAAATCAAATTTCATTTTCATTAAAAATATTGTGATATATAATAGTATATAAATGGATTTATTTCATATATGAAACATTCTGTCGGGTACATCATAATATCAGTATATACCCAGTTATACTACACCCTATACCCAGTTCATACTACACATTTTCCATGTGCTAAATACATTATATATATATATATATATATATGATTATATAATTAAAAATAACTCTGAATGAAAAATATATGTTTATTACATAGACAGAATAGCACTTGAAATACATATATATATATATATTATAAAAAGCGAAAAAATTCCTAACTCTCTTTCGCCTCCCTCTCTTATCAGCATATGTTATAAATATAATATTTATGTTTCTTATACACATATATATATACACACTTCGTCAGCATAGTAAGCTCTCAAAGATAAGAAAAGCTTTAGGCTGATCAAGTCTGAAGAGCTATATATTGGAGGGTATATTGGAGAGCAGCTTCCAGAACTTCGCCACTGAAGCTGATTGCGAAATTTAGTGTTGTTTCAATTCATCTGCGCGTCAGTCAAATTTTAAATAAAAAATGTTTGTTAAGCAATTTGTTTTGTGGTTTTTCTTCGTGCTGACAATAGATCAAACTTTCGGAGTGGTATGCTATATATTTAAAATTTAGTTTGAATAATAATATAAACATATTGAGTATTACCCATAAAGGAACTGCAATCGCGCAATCTGCAGTCAGAGTTCAGTGTGAAATGTTTCGGAATAATCCAATCTCTGCTGCAGGACATTGAAATAAAAAAGGAGAAATTTGTTACAGTTGTACAAGGCAAAGACAACAAATTGTCTGAGCTGCAGGGTAAATATGATCAGGTGCAAATGAAACTGGCTGTGGCAGAGACTGTGGCCAGACAGAAGGAGAGCCAGATACTGCAGCAGCGCGACTTATGCAACTCCCATAGAAACAATAGCCATATCAAGGATGAGCTACTAACGGCCTACAGACAGCATGTCAAGGATAAAGCCGCAGAAATTGCTGAGTTGCAGAAGGAACTCAAGGAGCAAGCAGAGATCTTATTCAACTTCACATCTCAAACTAAGCAAAAGGATGCCCAAATAGAGCAGTTGCAAGCGATTCAGCTAATACAAGATGAAAACATGAGTAAGAGCGCGGCGCAAATTGAGCAGCTGAAGTCCCAGTTAGAAACTAAAGATACGTTCATAGAGAGCTTGCAGTCGAAAATACTGTCGTACAATATCAAAGCCGAAGAGCTGCAAAGCAATCTGAAGAATAGAGATGCCCAAATCGAGAAGCTGCAAGCGGAATTGAAAAAGAAATTGGAAGAGCGAGATGCGTTTAGCTTGCAGTTGAACGCGAGCGAACTGCTAAACGAGCAAAAGATATCGGAAGTCAGTCACTTGAGATCGGAATTGAATCAAACACAGCTACAGTTGTCGAAGTATGAGGACCAACTCGATAATGTGCAATTGATAAATTGCTATTGGTATGGCAACTCATCCGCAATACGCCAGATACGTGCTCCCGGCATCAAACCATTTGATGTGCTCTGCGATTCGCAACTGGCCGGGCAAGGCTGGGCCGTAATACAGCGTCGCTTTGATGGAAGTGAGAACTTTTATAGAAACTGGAGCGAATATCGCGATGGCTTTGGCGATCTACACGGAGAATTCTTTATCGGCTTGGAGAAGATCTACAGACTCACACTGGCCCAGCCCAACGAGCTGTACGTCCATTTGGAGGACTTCAACAACAGCGTCTACTATGCCAAATATTCAGACTTTGGCATTGCTAGTGAGAGCGAGTCTTACGCTTTGAATCTTTTGGGCACCTACACAGGAAATGCCGGCGACGGGCTCTACTATGGCAGAAATCGTAACTTCTCCACTTTCGATATTGATAATGACAGATCTGTCAGAAACTGCGCGATAGAAAAACACGGCGCCTGGTGGTACGATCGATGTGGTCACAGGTTAGACAAAGTTCATTTATATACAATCTGCCATACATCTATCTATCTTTTTATCTATCTATCTATCTATCTTATCACCTGCAGTAATCTCAATGGTCTATATTTAAATCAGAGCTCCGAACATCCCCAGCGAATTTACTGGCTTAGCGCACAGTCCACATCCTTTAAGACGGTGCAAATAATGATGCGACCCAAGTCTGCTCAATATAACTAAGCATCTAAGCTTAAATATATTAACGAGCATGAAAAACAACTCATTCATAAATTTTCTATTTAACATTTAGTTTTCTTTTGTACTATTTTGTATTTCATTTTTAAGCATTTATTACCCTTTCAATCTGAAAATTAAATTTGTATATTGCATGAGGAAATTAGGAGTGATCAGTTCAGTCTTTTATCATTTATTTTATTTGTATTATTTTGTACTCATTTATTCCTGGCCTATTTGCAAGGACTGAAATCAATATAACGATTTATCTAATGTGAAACTTATTATATATTTATATTTATAGGGTATTTAGCATTGCCATATGCTGTGAACTCCATTTACTCATATATATATATATTATTATTATTATATATATATATATTTATTTTTTTTATTAAGTCATCTCACAGAGGTCTGGTTAACACTCGGTTCGAGTCGCAGCTGAAGTAGAAGAACGTTTGGGGAAACGTTGCCAGGCCGCAAAAATTTGTTTGTGATTACGCCCAAGGTGTGTGCTGAGGTGTGCTGTGTATTATGTAGGTACACATATTTTTAATCATCATTAACAATAATTCGAGAAATACTTTTAATTTTTTTCCGTTTGCGCAGGGCTCAAGACGACGCAAAGACGTAAAAGATGTTGGCCTGGGTGCACTTGGGCTTTGTCTTATGGCAGGGATAACAGCATATGTGTGTATGCTGGTGTGTGTGTGTGTGTGCGCTCGCGCTTGTGTTGCTTATTCCCGGCGCTACTTGCTGCCACTTCTGCCTCAATGACATTGCACTTACTGCTCCGACGTCGCAGAAAAAGATTTATGAAAATATTGCGTTTGTCCTCCCCCTTCAAGAGCAGCCCCCTGACTGCCCTCCTTAGGGATTGTGGGTTGCTTACGGTATGTATGTATGGACGAGCAGGGCGACAGCGACGGCGGCTGCTGTAGGTGTCCTTTGCTTGTGTGCAATATTAATTATTATAGGCGAGCCACCCACACAAATAAATCATAAATTAAAAGCCAAGACGCAGTGCCGGCCAAGCAGAAAGCTGTGAGCGAGTCCCAAACCCTCAGCGCTGGCCCAACCCCCTTAGCCCATAATAAACAATTTTTATCATTAAACGCATTTGATAATTAAAAATTGTCATTTTTTAGCAGAGCTCGCTTCTCTGAAATATCATTTTTCTCATATACTTTTTTCTTTCATTCCTTTTTTTCTGTTTTGTTTTTGGTTTTTTTTTTTTGGTTGCAAAAAATATTAAATTACCAAATGGGTGTGCTTTGGCCAGAGGGTGTTGGCGGGGTGTTGGTGGGGTTTAGAGGCGTTGGGGCAAGGGGTGTTTCCTGGACGTATACAAAAGCAACGGCATTTATCATTTTGCCAACTGTTTGTTTGATAAGGGGACACACAAAATTAAAAATTAAAAAAAAGAAGAAAATACACAGCTAACAAACGCAAAGCACATAAATAAAAATTAATTGGTGACCAAAAGGAAAAACCAACCAAGAAAAAAAAAAAAAATACGAAGCTAAAAAGGCACATAAATTTTACTTAAAATATATTTGAAGAGTGGAAGGCAAATGAAATAAGTTCTATATAAATAATTCGGGAACTTACAGTTTAGTATAACTAATCTACCTCTATCTCTCGCCAACGCTGACTTTCTTTAGTTTCCTTTCAGCAATGTGGTGCAGAAGTTAGGCATTGGCTCATCTCAACTTTGTTTTTATTTTAATTTCAAGAAACACGTCTAGTGCCATTAGCTACTCTGTATCTGTTACTTTGTCTAGAAAGTTGTTAAGGTTTCATTTCATTAAATTTTATGAACTTTTCGATTTCAGTGCGCAAAAATCGCATTTCCATTTTTAGTGAAGCAACAAAACCATTTGGAGCACTCGTAATGCATCCTTTACTCTCGAATATTTACTTTTACAGTTGCACATTTAATTTTACTGTGGCTTTCTCTCCCTCTCTCACTCTGTTTTGCACTTGCCCACTCGCACTTTGGTCCGACAGCAGACGTAATAACAATAAGCATCTAACTGACAGACAGATGCCAAATTGTAACTGTCTAAATGTGTTGCCAATTGATGGAGCTGCCCACCTTAAGTACACTTAGCTATTGCGCTTTGAGTATGGCGTGATGAATGAAAATGCTATTCAATTTTAGCTCGGAGAATTGCTGGAGTGAAAGTCCAAAGGAAGAATTATGAAGGAAAGAGAGGAAGAGAGAAAAGAGAGCGAGAAAGAGCGAGAGACAGAGATTTAATAAACAGCAGCGCGATATTTGAACAGTGGAAGACAGAAAGAAAGCAACGTCTGATCATGAGTAAATATTGCCTTTAACGTGTATTACTTCCATGATAGGCCTTTAAGTTGCCGATAGTTATTTGAAATTTAATATATTTATAAAAAAAAGCTGGCAAACATTAAGCAACATTATTCAGAAATTACGAACAGTCATAAATTGAATATGTGAAGAGGAAGGCAAAAAGAATAAAAATGTAAAGATAAAAAAGGAAAAGGAAAAGGGCAGGAAATTTAAATTACCTGTGCCGTAATTACACAAAAGAATATGCCAATAAAAATGACTTATGTATCAATTTCCTTTACGACGACTCCGCAGGACGAGAACGACAACGATGATAATAATAAAAGGCAACAACAAGGGCAGTCGCAGTCGCAGTCGCAGTCGCCGTGCACAAAGCGAAAATTTCAATTTTATTTTTATTGCCTTATTGTGTATCAAATATTTACAATTATTTGCCATGAGCCATGAAAATGAGCCATTCGGCCAGACGAGCGGGCGGTGGCGGGGCAACGTGCCATGAGCCATGGGCCGTGGGCCGTGGGTCGTGGGCCGTTGGGCGTGTGCATGCTGATAAATTCAAATAAATTGTGCAGTGTAACCAAGGTGAAAATGATAGCGCCAGCCTAACCCCCAGACTACGCCCTAAGCAGCAGCAGCGGCAAAAGTTTTCGATCAAAAAGCGACAGAAAATTGCATGGAAAATGGAAAATGGCTTTGGTTCTGGTGCTGGCTAAGAGTCTGGCCTAAATGGAGACGCAGCGTCTTTGCCTTTGCTTTTGCTTTTGCGTGGCATTAAAATTTTATTTTAATGTCATCGAGACGCTGATTTACAGCAGGCACTGTGCAAGACTGCACAGATATACAGACAGAGAGAGAGAGAGAGAGAAAGAGAGACGGCATTAAGGTGTATCAGCCGTATATAATTTTATTCAAATTATATTTTATTGCGTCGAAAAGGCAGTAATAGCGCGTAAAATTCCAAAGTCTTGGCAGCAACTGAAGCCAATTCAATATCAATGGCAACCGCAGCCTTTTTTAGTTGCCACATAGGAGTTGTATTAAAATCTGCTCTCAGACGTGCTTCTTTGACGGAAGAACTGTTGAAATTATTATTATTATTATTATATATATATCATATATATTAGATATGGATTGATATACGCTCTCTCTCTGGATTGTTTTGCAAAAGCTGCAGTCATGCAAAACGAGTTATAACCTTTGAAGCCTAGCGAAGCAAGGACGAAGTATATAGCTAACATAGATAAACCGTTTACTTCTTGTGTGTGTTGAGCATACTAATATGTATATGAAATATGCAGCAGATGTTGACTGTATGTGTGAAAAGAGTAGAGCCCGACTAAAGCACTCTAATTTGTAGTTGCCTAGCTCATGCTCGTGTCTGTAATGGCTTATGATTAGATTATCATATATAGCTATTGGTCTTATCCAGTTGTCAGCTTAGCTGTTTAGTGTGTTGACTAACAATTAACTTGACTTACGATCTTTTTGCTTAACAAAAGCGTAGCAAATAGCGCTAATAAGTCAATAAATCCATTTAGGCCAAAGCCTGGAGCAAGAACATATCCCATTGCAGGCTGCTCGTTTCGGGAATTGGGTAACGAGAGAGGGGGCACTCAAATGGAAGTCAAAGGCAGGTGAAAAACTTTTACCGGTTGCCACTTAACCGTTCAATTTGGGGTTCCGACCTTTCGAGCTGCTATCTTAGTCAGTTTTCTTTACCCCCACGCCCCTCTCTCTCTCTGTGTGTGTGTGTCGTGTTTCTTTCCCTACCGTTCCGTTCTATTTGCTGCCACGTTTTTTGGTGCAAAGTTTTTGCGGCTTTTTCAATATTTTATGAGTCAAGCTTTTGCGTTAACACCTTAAGTACGCAGGGCATTGCGGTTAGAGAGAGAGAGCAAGCTGGCATGGCATGGGGCTGATAGGCTGGAGGGGTGCATATTCTAAGGGGGCGCACATTCAAGCTTATCGTATACATGTGTGTGTGTTTGTGTGTGTGTGTGGCAGGAAATAACGCGCAAGTTGTAAGTTTTAACTAGCAGCAAACAACTTTTGTCGAGGCTATGGGGCAGCTAGCTGGCTGACGCGAAGGCGGGGTTGGTGGGGAGCTGCGAGGGAGGACCGACTGTGGCGCCTGTTGAACGAACTGTTGCTGTTGTTTTTGCTGCCTTTTAAATGAAGCATCGAATATTGCACACAGCTAAGGCAGGCACACACACACTCTCTCTCCCTCTAGAACACTCACACACACAATGTATATGTCGACAACGATTTATTTTCCAGGCAACTTAAGTGCGCCCAAAACGCGCACAGTACTGTTCCATTGCTGGCTGCCACGCCCATACACACACACACAAATGCTGTGTGTGTGGCATT